AAAAAAAAAAAAAAGTTTAAAGTGATTTTACATTGAAATTCGAACTCAATTTCCACTTTCGTATCAAACGCCAAAGTAGAAATTAAATTCTTTGGACGTGTCACTTTCCATAGAATTTAAATCAATCAAACGGAGCCTTAATTCTTTTAATGCATCTTATTAATTTCTTTTTCTTTTCTTTTGTATTCGATGCTATATTTCTTTGTTTTCGAGCAATTTTATTTCATAATTTTGTATTATGATCTATTTATTTCTATTTAGTCATTATAGACAAATTTCTTGATATGCTTTGTAGCTTCAACGTGTAATTAGCCTCCAAAATAGAATATGTGTACAAAGTAATGTACATATAATGTGTATATAACATAGAATCAATCATATTGTAATACACGTCATCGTGACAATTTATATACTTCTGAAAGGTAACATGTAAATGTAAATGTGCACAAAGTTCGTCGAAAAGAAGCTTAGGTGTTATAAATAAAAAAACAAGACTAGATTAATCGAGAACGAATTATAAATCAGATGAAAATGCTGTAGGTTTTACCAAGAAATTTTCCAATATTGGTTCTTGAACTTTCCATTATATTTCACATGTTTTGCAAGTAACATTGATGAATCGAACAGAGGGATCAAAAAGAATTCATGTAATGGACTTCAAATTTATAACATTCTTGAAATAATATAAACTTTGTTTTTCGATTGTACAATCAGAATAATTACATATGAAAAGGGAATTAAATTCCTCTACTTAAAGTAGTAAGGAAGGTCAAGAACATAGAGGAGAAAATAAGCCCAAGTGACACCAGAAATACCACCAAAGAAGAATCCTCCAGTGAATTTGGCCCAACCCTCAGCAGTTTGTAGCTGATCAGGCTCCTTTTTCCTGCCAGTCAGGGTCAATGCTGGTGCGGTTGATGGCTCACCCTCTTTGAATGATGAAATCCCATAAATTGTTAAGCAAAGACTAAGGATCACAACAAGGCCTGCTGCTGCTAGAGAACCAGCTCCACCTGCATAAGGTGTGTTGCGGAGGGGGCCGGTTTTCACGAATGGGCCGACGAGGAGGAAGCCGTGGGCAAGGCCGACCTCAATTCCACGGAGAAGTGGGTTGACTGCGGTCCGGTAGGCCGGGAGGTTGGAGAGGTACCAAGCAATCAATGGGCTTGATGTCACTGGGGTCTCAAGGCTTCCAATGAATGGATCACCATTGATGGGTTGAATCACTTGGTAAGTAGGCTGTGTCAAGGTTAAAGAAGATCAAACTCCTGTTAAGATTAGCACAATATAATCCGTGCATATTTGATACGTAATACTCAAAACGACTAGACGATAATGAATAACAATGACATACAATGAGATACATATCACATCAACTAGCCCTTCATTTATCTATTTATCTGCCTTTGTAAGGGGATATTGAAACCAGTGTATATCTCTATGTACAGGTAAGTTTAGTGCATGATAGGCAAATTTAAAATTTTTTAAAGTACTTATAAGTTGTAAGTTCTACGAAATGTGTAGATAATAAGAGGGTAACAAGTTTTCAATCCTATCAAAATGTGTTATAAAGAGTATGTTTGCAATAAAACTACAGTATTTAAAAGAAATTTGGCGAATTCACTGAAAGATCTCAGCAGCATTTCGACATCCACAATTTTCTAATTCAAATAAGGCACAAACCTCTTCTCTTGCGGTTTAAACTTTTAGATAAGGTGTTACTGTAAGGTTTAGCCATTTGTGAAATTTATGCACGTTGAAGACTAATGCTTTGCTCGTCTAAAATTATTAGGAAATTTTTAGGAGGAATAGTATTGTATCCCATGAAATGTGTAGATAAAAATGTATATGCATCTCATATCAAAAAAGTTAAATTTCTAGATGAGATTGTTCGATCGAGACGTAATTCCTCTAACCTTCTCAGACTGAACAGCTTTGATGGTGAAGCAAGAGTTTCTCCTGGAAGGCAGAACTCTGAGTGGAGCTCCAGAAATACCCTTTGGAGTAACCAGTCCTCTAGTCAAGGAAGAAGCAAAATTGCTCTTGAGCTGGCTAGCCATGGTTGAAGCAGCAGTAGCCATATTTGAAACTTGTGCTAGAACTCAGAATGAATGTCTGGTTACAGCAAGAACAAGAATATGTAGAGTAAAGAAATAAGGGTTTGTTTGTGTAATTTATGACTCTGCTAATAATATCTTTTGCACACAAATTTGTGGTTCTCAGATGTGAGGCACTGGATTCTCATTGGGTGAGTTGGGCTAGAAACCTTATCTTCCCTTATCCACATTGACATGTAAGAATGTGAATGATAGGATATCAAACCGAGTAGTTCAATTTACGTAGCCGGTTATCAAATGAACATGAAGGAACTTTCTAACTACACGCACTTGGCTGAAAGCCTAGAAGTCGGGAATAAGACTGAATTCGAGATAAGAATTACATTTCCCAAACAAAATAGATAAGGATTTCTCGTAATTTTCACTTGTTAAATCATCTCGTCTTTTTTTAAAAAATCTAATGTGAATATTGAACCGAAGATAAAAAAAAAAACTCACAATTTTTTAAAATTGCACATTGGAAAAATTCGATCAACAAGACCAATCAATTACGTGTTGACCAATTCTATCGGCAATGGTTAAAATAAAATTGTAGTTGTAGGCAATAATCAGATTGATTTTCATTTCTTACAATAGTGCTGATTGAGTCGAGTAAGTTTTTATGATACTAAGCCCCCCGTTTGGGAGCCATTCTGTATTATCAGCTTATTTGTTCCATATTTTCGCTCCATTTGTATAAAAAAAATGCACCATTGCCAATCAAATCAGTCACTATCTTTGACTTTTTTATCTCACACAAATTCAATTTTTTTGAAAATAACGGTCAGAATTTTTATACTTTTGGCCAAATAATTTGAGCCAAACGGGGGTTATAGTTTTAGAAAAATTCTAGCCGTTATATTGGGCTTGTTAGAGGAGCTGTATATTTTGACTGAATTACTGACAAATTATTAATGTGTCCCTAAAAAAAAATCTTTGAAAAAGGACAATTTCGGTAATTCGCAGCATGTGCAACATCTATGGGTCCCACCTACCGAAACGGTCAAATATATATTCTGCATTTGGCCAAAAATGGCTACCAAACATGTGCTAAATTTATCTTCATCGTACCCTCACGTGCAAGACGAATTGCGAATCGTATATAAATTATTTTTTTCATCCTCAATTCCATTTCGTCAATGTCAATGTGGAGATAAAAAGAAAAGAAAAAAATGTTTGGTAGAAAAATAAATAAAAATCTATATTGAAATATTACTTTGAAACTAGGAGGAAAAAAAAGATGAAAATTATTCATAGTAAGATTATAGCAAATTAAACTTAAAACATGGTTGGGAGTTGTTTATAAGAGATTTAAATTATAAATCGGAAAAAAATGAGTAGTAGATAAGTTAACAATACTTATTGATTCTAAGAAATATATGAATAAAAAGTGGTTTACAAAATTCATCTTAAGAGTTTCCATTATTTAAAAAATCATTAGGTTTTATACATATTTCAAATTAAAATGTTAAGTCAAAGTCAACAATTAATTTTAACTACGCATTTCATGGAATCCACGACTTTTCAACCACATATTTCATCAATTTTTATTAAAATTTACTAAAAATTTAATTTTAATTTCTACGAGACGGGTATAATGTTGATTCTTGAATCATGCAAGTCAAAAAACATTTTTTTCATTCTTAAAAAGTCCTTATTGCTACTGGGTAGCCAAACTGGCTCCATTCCTTTCTCTGGCCGTCTTGTTAGCTCGCACGCTCGACTTCGACTGTTGAGTACAATCCTCTTTTGAGGCTTTTGGGCGTTTTGTTCATAACCCCGAAAAAGAGGCGAAGATGGTAGTGCAGCAT